GATTTGGAACCCGTGCGTCTGGATTCGCGCGTCTGTATTCCGCGCCTGGGTCCGTCCGACCGGAGTCCTGTGCAACCCCTCACGAGACGCCGGTTTCTCCCCTTACCGGTCGGGCTGAAGAATTTGTTGTTACCGGACTTCCGAAAAGTTCAATTTTCCGTGTTCTGGTTGTGTTTTCTGATGCTCATATTTAGTTGTCCCTAAACTTGGTTGTGTGAGAAGGTACGGCACATCCACCTATACCTCCATCTTGGCGGAAGTCCCTGAAAGGTTTTCTTAGGCTCTGCCAAGGAAGAAAGGCCAATCAGCCACAAAGTTAGGCAGTATAGAGCTTTATTGGGGTTTGCGCACCTGGGCCAGGTTCCCCCATCCACAGAGTGGGGCCGAGGAAGTCACGCCCAAGCAGGGAATATGGCGGGGTTTTGTTTCCGTTGTCTCTCTTCGTGGGAGCTGAGGATTGGTCCCCTTTGAACAAAGTGGCAATATATCATTGGTGGCTTTCCTCAGGCTCAGCTTGCTATGCGGATATCCGTTTTGGCAAAGCCCGCCCTTTCAGCTCTCTGGTTTGACGGCAGCTGTCTTTTCCGGGTTTTAGTTCAGCCGCCATTTTATCCTACCCTGCCCATCCTGACAGGAGCATTTGCTTCATGAGTAATGATGTTGAGCATCTTTTCTTGTATTATTGTTATATATATATATATATATACATATTTGCATACATTGGTTTTTTTAAAGATTTATTTATTTATTTTTAGAGAGAAAAGAAAGGAGGAAGAGAGGGAGAGAAATGTCTATGTGAGAGAGAAACATCGCCCAATTGCCTCTCGTATGTGTCCCAACCAGGGGTCAAACCACAACCCACGCATGTGCCCTGACTGGGAATCAAACTGACGACCTTTTGCTCTGTGGTACGATGCCCACCCAACTGAACCACACCAGTCAAGGCTGCATATATTCTTTGGAGAACTGTCTATCCAAATCCTTTGCCCACTTTAAGGAGAATTATTAGTCTTTTTATTCTTGAGTTTAAGAATTCGTTATGTATTTTGAACACTAGACCCTTATTACATATATGAGTTGCAAATATTTTTCCCATTCTGTGATCCATTTGCATTTATTTTTCTGTATATGGTGTGATGTAAGGGTTCAATTTTATTCTTTCATGTGTGGATATCCAGTTGTTCCAATACCATGGAGTGAAAAGCCTGTTCGTTCTTCGATTGGATTGTCTTGGCACCCTTGTCAAAACTAATTTACTATAAATATGAGGGTTTATTTCTAGAGCCAGTTCTCCATTAACTTGTAAGTCTATTCTTATTGTGAGTACCACATTTGATTACTGTAGCTTTTGTAGTAAGTTTTGAATTATGAATTTGTTCTTTATTTCAAGATTGGGCTATTCTGGGTCCTTGAACTTCATAAGAATTTTAGACAAAGAACATTTATGTACAACCCTTGGACATGGACAATGGGGGAACTGGCTTGGGGATGGGAGAGGGTACATCTGGGTAGAGGTAGGGAAAGGGGAAAAGCAGCTGGAACATCTGTAACAGCATAACAAATTAAAAGATAATTTTAGAAACTTTAGTGTGTTAATTTCTGAAAAAATGACCATTGAAATTTTGACAGAAATTACATTAAATCTGTAGATCAACTTGGGGAATATTGCCATCTTAACAATATTCAGTCTTCCAATACATGAAATACAGGATATCTAAGTCTTCCATTTATCTAGATCTCCTTTAATTTTTTACAACAATGTTTTGTAGTTTTCAGTGTTATGTCTTGTATTTTTTTAGTTTAATCTATTCTTAAGTATTTTTTGATGCTATTATAAATGGAGTTTTCTAAGTTTCACTTTTAGATTGTTTATTGCAGGTATGTAGAAATACAGCTGATTTTTTTATATTGCTGTTAAATCTTGTAACCTTGATGAATTTGTTTATTATCTCTAATATATTCTTCATGGGTTCCTTAGGATTTTCTATACATAAGATTATTTCATTTGCAAATAGTTTTATTCTTTTTTTTTCAAATGGAATGTTCTGTTTTTTTTTAAATAAATTTATTTATTTTTTTTGAATTGTTTATGCTGTTACAGTTGTTCTATTCCCCCCTTCATTCCCCTCCACCCTGCCCCCCCAACCCCACCATTACCCCCCTTTAGCTTATGTCCATGTGTCTCAAGTCCTTTAGGTTCTATATTTCCCATACTATTCTTGCCCCCCCCATCTATTTTCTATCTACTGTCTATGCTACTTGTTTTCTGTACCTTCTCTCCCCATCTCCTCCTCCCACTCCCCTGTTGCTAACCCTCTCTTTTTCTCATTCTTTTCTTCCCCCCTCTCCTTCTTTTTCTTCTTCTTCCTCTCCTCCTCTTCCTTCTCTCTCTCTCTTTCTTCTTTTTGCCTTGTTGTAAGAACTTTTGGTACAATATTGAATAGAGGTGTTGAGAATGGACACCTTGTCTTTGTCTTGCTCCAGGCTTTTGGGGAAAAGCTTTCAGGTTTTCACCATTAAAAATGTTATTTGTGGCGGGGTTTTTTGGTTTGTTTGTTTGTTTTACAAATGCCTTTTATGAGGTTATGTTCCCTTTTATTTCTAGTTGTTGGATTTTTTTAATCATAAAAAGGTGTTGATTTTGGTCAAATACTTTTTATGTGTCTATAAGGATGATCATGCGGTTTCTTTTCCTTCGGTGCTATTTTTCTATGCCCACCTTTAAGTCAACCCCACTGGCAAAGAGGTCTGCTTCATTCACATTATTTCAGTACCCATACATTTAAATTTCTACTTTGTTGCTTTTATTTTTATTCTTTAAAAAGACTTTATTTATTTTTTGAGAGAGGGGAAGGGAGGGAGAAAGAAAGGGAGTGAAACATCGATGTGTGGTTGCCTCTCACATGCTCTCAACTGGGGACCTGGCCCGTGACCCTGGCATGTGCCCTGACCCAGAATCATACTGGCAGGACAATGCATTGGTAGCAACAGTGGCAGGACAATGAGATAGAAATATTTCTATTTCAGGAGGTTTTTTAAAATATATAACAGTTTTTGGTGTCCCCCAAATTTTATTTTAAACAGATTCTCCTACTTCTCTTTAAGGAAGGGCTAGTCAAGTCTGAGCCTCAGAAAAAGTTTCTGTTAACAACAATATGAATATATTAATATAATTATTAATACTAGTCCTCTAGGTGACCCTATCCTTGACACTGTTGTGCCGCCCAATCCTCCAGTGTGCATTCATCTTGTTCATTGAAAACCCAGGAGGCCCATTAGCTTTGGTTTTGCCAGTCCCAGATTTCACCCCTCATCCCAATCCTGTGGTTTTCACAACCTGCTTGGTAAAACATGTCCCTTGGTCAGTGCTTCCCAAGCTTAATGTTCATCAGAATCATCTGGAGGGCTTGTTCAACACCCCCCAGGTTCTGGGATGCCATTGTGGCAGGCAGTTAGACAGATGTGAGCTGAGCAAGAACAATGGGCCAGGTACGGAAGGTCACCAGGACAGAAAGCCCAGGTACCTAGCAACGGGCAAAACTGGGAAAACAAGGATCTGGCCCCAGGATAACCTTTCCTCCCCTAGCGTACTGGTCCCCCTGGACTTTCATGTTGCTGGTCACGCGATTTGGATCCCCCCCAACTTTTCCTCCCCTGGCATGCTGCTATCATGTGGGTAATGAACAAGGGGGCAGGAATTAAGCCCCCAGGACAATGAGGTTCTGACCAGCATCAAGTACATCCAGACCTCAGTTGTATTTCAGCTCCAGGCCCAGAAAAGCAGCAAAACCAGTCAAGCGATGGCATGGCTGACCTCAGGATCAGCTGCATTGACTAAGGACCCCACCCTGATGCTGACCAATCAGTAGAGAACACAACGCTGAAAGACCACACCTGGAAAGCTGATGAATTCCAGCTGATCTCAATTCCATTGAGATCCTCCCCTTGGAATGCCCCTAAAATCCCTGCCCTTATAAGCCCTTAGGGCAGAGGATGACCCAGCACACTCTCCCACGAGCACATCAGCATCTTTCCCCTCCCCCTCTTCTTTTCTCTAGGCATGTTACCTTTAACTTCCTCTCTCCTAAATTCCAAGGAGCCTTCTTTTGTCTCTGTAACTTGTTTCTTAAGCCCATATCTTCTACAGATACTCCTTCTACCTTTGTAACTTTCTAAACATTCTCTTATAGTTTGTGTCTTGGCTCTGTAAGTTTTCTTTGCCAGAACTCAAGTACTGAGGTTGCTGAACCAAGGTCTGTTGTGACCCCATTGGTATAACACCGCCACCAGCAGCATCTCTGGAGATTGTGACACATTATCATGCCTTAGGGCTGAGTAAGGATTTGCATTTCTAATAAACTCTCAGGTAATGCTGATGCGGCTGGTCCGGTGGCCACATTTTGAGTGGCACTGCTCTAATGACCCTGACATTAGCAGGGTCACACATTCTCACAGCATCAGTTTCTTCCCTATCAAACCTTTTTCTTTGAGGGTACCCCTATACCCCACCCCAAAGAAAAATGTTACTGTTGCATCCGCACAATCATTCCCAACCAGGGACAGTTTTTATCCCCAGGAGACATTTGGCAGTGTCAGGAGATACTTCTTGTTGTCATAACTGGATAGTAAGAAGGCACACTGCTGGCATCTGGTAGAGGCCATGGATGCTGCTAAACACCCTACAAGGCACAAGACAGCTCCTTTACGACAAAGAATTATTTGGCACGAAATGTCAGTAGTGCCAAGGTTGAAAAGCTTGGTATCAACATGATATTGCTTTGTTTGCCAAGAGCAGGAAACCCTTCTGATTGCATCTCTGTCAAGTAGATAGCCTATGATATGAAGATAGGTATAAAGGAATTGTTGTGTCCCCCACTCCAATTTTTTTTTTTACAGTTTATTGAAAATAAGACATTTAAACTTTAAAACCATGAAGCTCTTTGAAATGTCACTTCTAAACACAATAACTTGTCTTCAGATTTTTCACTTCTCCTTCTCAGGTCTTATGACGGAATGGAAGGCTTCACCAAAGCTAAACCTTTGGGCACTGGGCCTCTCTATTTCTTTGATCAGGTAATAATATAGTTCAGTCCATAAATTGTAGTTTCCTTTTTATAAAAAAATAATTCACTTTGACTAGTATTTTCTCTACTTTTTAATCAGAAAGATTTCTTTCATTTTAGATGAAACCAGAAAGAAAAAAACAGGGAAGGAGAGAATGCACAGAACATTTCCCTTATTTGGAACACACCTCAGGAGCTAGGCAGAGGTAAAACATTTGGAAGTACTCTTCAATTGCAGGTATCACTTCACATCTGCCAAGGCTTACAAGATGCTCAGGATCAATTCTTCCCTATTCCCCATCCCCCAAGAAACTACATCAAGGAATTAGCACTTCAGAGCTGACCATGAAGTCAATCAGAGAACTTGATTTTAGCCAGATAATTGGGTAAATTAAGCATAATTAGTCCAATGTCATTCTGGTTTCTTTGCTCTTCCACAGCAAACCCAGCTCACTCTTTTTCTTTTCTTTTTTTTTTTGCCTTAGGGAGTTTGCCCTAGTTGTTCCTTCTGCTTTCAGCATTACTTACTCCCCTTCCCTTTTGTCTTCATTTAGCTATCACCTCTGTGGTAAGACTTTTCTTGATTTTCCCCATTTCAAATTTCTACCTGTCTCCACTTTAGCAATCTTTATGCCCCTTTCTAACTTTTTTGTTGAACTTAATCACTTTCTGACATTGTAGCTGACATCCCTATATATTTGTTTGCCTTCTCTCTTCTCATGAGAGTATCAGGTCTACGAGCGGAAGATTTTTTTATCTTCTGGATTACATCTCTATTTCCAATCCTGAGAACAGTGCTTGGCACATTAGATGTGCTTCACAGAGATTTGTGAGTAACAGCCATAGAATTGTGTAAAGCCCACAAAGATGAATGAAGTAATGGAACTGGTCATTCCACAATGTTTTTACCCTCTAGTGACTACAATTTCTTAACTGGTGAAGTGGACATAAAATACCACAACCTGTCTTAGAACATGTATCACAAGGCTGTATAAAGTTAAAAGTTGTCAGCTCTACCAGTGACTTCTTGAGCAGGGGTGTTTTGCCCTCTTTGGGACATTTAGCAATTTCTGTAGATCTTTTTGTTCATGACAATTAGGGATCATGGTGCCACTGTCATCTAATGTGTAATAGACCAGGGATGCTGCTAAATGTCTTACAATACACGGGACAGCCCTTTCAAAAGAGGATTATCTGATCCGAAAATGTCTATAGTACTAGAATTGAGAAGCCCTGGTATATACTAGTCGGTATTTTTTGGGGGGAGCCTGCTATAAATTTTGTCAAAATCACTGCAAATTGCTGCTATTTTCAGAAGTCCATTGTCTCTCATTTACAACTTTTTCTACTTGAAAAGCAATTCAAGATAACTTGGTCCTTTTGTATCTACAGTGCTTGGCTTATAATCAGTAATCAGTGAGTCAGATAGTTTTATTTTATTTTTTAAGATTTTATTTATATATTTTTAGAGGGGAAGGGAGAAAGAGAGAGAAACATCAATGTGTGGTTGCCTCTCGTACGCCTCATACTGGGGTCCTGGCCCTCAGCCCAGGCATGTGCCCTGACTGGAAATTGAACTGGCGACCCCGGGTTCAGAGGCCCGCACTCAATCCACTGAGCTATAGCAGCTGGGGCAGATTGTTATATGAACAATAAGTAGGTCTGTGTATCATAGAGCTTCAGGGGTTTGTTGGTTTCCCCACTTTCTCATCTGACGCAGTCCTCGGGGTATGTGTTAAGCACCGCTTCCGTCCATCCTGCTTGGAAACTCCCCGTTTCTTCCCCTGGCTGTCCTGCTGCTGCTGCTGTTGCACCAAGAATAAAATCCTTGCTTCTCACCACTGACTGCTAGGCCTTCGGTGGTCTCTCCTCATGCCTGTCCTCTGGCCTTCTCGCACACCACTCCATGTCACTCAGGGCTCCCTAGCCATTATGGCCTATCTATTGCTTTCACAACCCCACCCATTCCTGAATTAGGTTCTTCGCATTTGCTGTGTATTCTCCTTTGGATGCTTTTCCTGCCATATTATTTTATGGTTGGCTCTTTCCCAGCATCATTTGAATCTCAATGAAAATGTCGCCTTCTCAGAAAGGCCATCTCTAATCACTCAATCCAAAGAAGGCAAACCCTGCCCCACCCAGTATTCTATTACGATGCCCTGTTTTATCGTCATCAATGCAGTTATTGTTATCTATAACTTTCTTTTGTTTTTCTCCTCTCTCTCGTCCCTTTCTCCCTCCATTCTTTCCCCAACGAGAATGTAAGTTTCATGAGGGCAGAAGTCTGTGCTTTCCACCATGTCTCCCCCGATACCTACAGCTGGGCCTGGTGAATATTTTTTGAATGAATGCATTGAATGAATGCATTATTTCTTCTCATGTGCTGTGCCTAGAGTAGTGGAGCTACTTTAAGACTGGGTCAGGTGCCAACACCTTCATTGTTGATGTTCTCTTCTTAAGATTGTTAAGTCTGGTTTTTGAACTGGATGGTCCATTATTTGAGCTTCTCCCTGAAAAAAATAAGCCAGATACGTAAATATTATTTTAAATACACATGAAATATCTTAACCTTAATAACCCTCTGAAGGAGATATAATTACTGAGTTAATTAATAAATGGTACATGCTACTATTATTGTTGTTTTTTAAAAGATTTTATTTATTTATTTATTAGAGAAAGGGGAAGGGAGGGGGAAAGAGAGGAAGAAAAATATCAGTGTGTGGTTGCCTCTTACACATCCCTAACCAGGGACCTGGCCCAAAGCCCAGGCATGTGCCCCGATTGGGAATCGAACTGGTGACCCTTTGGTAGACAAGTCAGTGCTCAATCCAGTAAACCACACAGCCAGAACTTATTATTGTTATTTAAGTACAGTCTTTATTATTTTATTCAAGAAATAGATACATCTGACAGTTACAAATGCATATTTACAGGATGTGACAAACAAAATACCATAAAGTTGAGATAACACAGTAGCTGCCTCAGAGGACTAGTATTTGGGTTCGATGACATGATGTTGCTGAGAGCAACTTTCAAAGCTTATTATAAAGAGATAGAGAAATTTATGAGCTATAATAATACATTATAATTTTCAAAAGTGGGTCTTTATTCTTTAAATATTAATGTGAAAGTATAACTAATGCCCAAAGAGCTACATAGAAATCTTATGCCTATTCTAAATTTTTTGATCTAAAAAAAAAGTTGCCTTTTACTTCACATTAAACCCTTAGCAAGGCAACCAGTGTTATTTTTCAAGCTATTCTAGTGGAACCATCATTTAGAAAAAAAATGCAAGCGAAACTCCATCAGGTGTTGACATGTTTCGCCACACTGACTTGGTGAAAGGGAACACTTTGTAACAACTAGGGCAGCTGTCTTAGATGTCTTTGACCAAATGGTCAAAGAGGAGGAGAACGTTCCCAATATTGAAGCTGTATTCTACCTGACAGAACTATCAAAAGCCCTGATCAGTCTCTAAGTGTCTCAGATGCCTCTTCTAGAAATTCCCCTCCCTGCACTTAACCTCCCACAGGGGTGGGGATGGGGCAGAACACGAGGTCTACCTCTTTGGATTTCCGTCTTCTCCCAGAGACTCTCAGTAACATCTGATAGTGGTGTGTTGGACAGGCTAAGGGAACACAATGTGTCTGTAGACTCACAACTGAGGAAATTCAGGGAAGGCTTTCTGGAAGAAGATTTCTCTGTTTTGTCTTATAATTAAACAAATGAATAAACAACACACATATTGGTTTTTATCTTCTGTGTATAAACATAGTAAATGTTCATTTTAGAAAAGTATAAAAGGAGAAAATAAAAAATGACTTTCACAATCCCACAAGCAATTTACTTTGTGTTAGACATTTGCTTGGTCTTTTTTACTACCAGATATATGATATATACATATATAATTCAGATCACTCTACATATACAATTGCATATACTTTTTATATGATATTATCACATAAGCATATCTCCAAATTATGAAGAGAAATTTTCTAAACAATTTTTTTATGGCTACATATTTCATGGGTATGGCGTTATTTACTTAGCTATATTCCTATGAGCTGTTAAGTTCTTTTTAATTTTTACTATTATAAAAAAAAATGTTTCATCCCTGGTCAGGTCACTTAGTTAGTTAGAGTGTCATGCCAATATGCCAAGGTTGCTGGTTCCATCCTGTGTCAGGGCACATACAAGAATCAACCAATGAATGCATAAATAAGTGAAACAACAAATCTTTCTCTCTCCTTCCCTCCCTCCCCCTCCCTTTCGCTCTCTAAAATCATAAATAAAAAATGTAATAGTAAATAATGTTATAGGTAGCCACTTTATGCATAGATGTTATATGTCTTTTAAAATTATATTTTAAGCTTGATTTCTAGAAATCATATTTCCAGGTTAAAGAGTAGTAAATACCTTCAATGTTTTTATCACATATGTGTTTTATAGTCCTACAAAGAGCATAAAATCTGCAGAAGTAGAGAAGGAAGGAAGGCTACCTACAGAAGCTGCACCAGAGAAATACGCATCCTGCTCATTTGCCATCTCACAAACTCCTGTTGTTCCCAAGTTTCCTACTGGCCTTAAATTCTCCAAAATATACCTGCAAAAGAGCCTGTTTGAAGAATACAAACTCACTGCTGCTGAAATACTGCACGAACTTGGGGAGACATTGCAGAAATATGCTGAGTATAACATTACTTTCCCTATGGGAACTGTAAATCTTGTGAATTACAGTTGGCATGATCTCATTGAAGGAGCTTATAAGTGTCCAACCAAAAAGTCAATGTTGAAGAAACACAAAGCCTTGCAAAGTGATCACAATTACATGACCGCAATTGACAAAATCAGCAGCTGTTCAACTAAAGAGTGTTATAAAGATAATCATCCAGTGAAGATCAAAAAAGACCACCACCATACTGCATCAGGTAAATCTACAGAAAAAACATGTAAGTAGAAATTACTAGCTAAATTTCTAAATACTCAACTAAGTAAAAAAAAAAAAAAGAATACAAACAGCAAGTGAGGTATTGACAGAACATTCTGTTACTGATATTTGGCTTGTGTTAATCCTTTTAGTAAATTATTCATGAATGTTAGGAGTAAGACAAAAATTAATATTGTTTTCAGTTTAGTAAAACATCTATAACCTACGAAGGATTCATAACCATATGATATGAATCCTTTGCCTCAGGAGAGCTTACAAATTCTCTTACATAACAAAGTCCAACAGAAAAACAATACTAACCACACATATAATTTTTTATTTTTATTTTAAATTATATTTCATTGATTATTCTATATCAGTTGTCCCAGTTTTAACCGCATTGCTTCCTTAAACCCAGCACTGTCCACTCTGCACCATTGTTCATGCCCATTGATCATGCATATAAGATCTTTGGCTGCCCCATTTCCTATACTGTGCTTTACATCCCTAGGGCTATTCTATAACCTCCTATTTGTACTTAATCTCCTCATTTCTTCATCTATTCACTCATATGCCTCATCTGGCAACCATCAAGATGCTGTTAGTATTTATGATTCTGCCTCTATTTTTGTTTGCTTTTTATATTCCATTGTTGATAGATATGTATTTATTGCCATTTTATTATTCATAATTTCTATCTTCTTTTTTCTTAAATAAGTCTCTTTAACATTTCATATAATAATTGTTTGGTGAAGATAAACTCCATTAGTTTTTTCTTATATGGGAAACTTTTTATCTGCCCTTTAATTCTAAATGATAACTTTTCTGGGTAAAACAATCTTGGTTGTAGATCCCTGCTTTTCATGACTTTCAATATTTCTTGCCAATCCCTTCTAGCCTGCAAAGTTTTTTTTTTAGAAATCATTTGACAGTCTATGGGAACTCCCATGTAGGTAACTAACTTTTTCTCTTGTTGCTTTTAAGATTCTCTCTTTGTTTTTAACCTTTGGCATTTTAACTATCATATGTCTTGGAGAGGGCCTCTTTGTATCCATATTGTTTGGGATTCTCTGTGCTTCTTGGACTTTCATGGCTATTTCCTTGACCAAATTAGGGAAGTTTTCTTTGATTATATTTTGAAGTAGATTTCCAATTTCTTGCTCTTTCTCTTTTCCTTCTGGCATTCCTATGATGTAAATGTTGGAACACTTCAAGTTGTACCAGAGGCTGCTTATCATATCCTCATTTTGGTGGCACGGGGGGGATTATTTTTTCTTCTTTTTCTGATTGGTTGTTTTTTGCTTCCTTTGTTCCAAATTATTGATTTGATTCTCAGCTTTATCCGCTCTACTGTTGTTTTCCTATAAATTGTTCTTTATTCCAATTAATGTATCCTTCATTTCTGACTGGATCTTTTTTATGCTGTTGAGGTCCTCATTAAGATCCTGCAGAATACTTACAAGCAATAAGTATTTTGAACTCTGCATCTGATAGAATGCTTATCTCCATTTTGTTTAGTTTTTTTCCTGGAGTTTTGATCTGTTCTTTCATTTGGGCCATGTTTCTGTGTCTCCTCATTTTGGCAGCCTCCCTGTGTTTGTTCGTATGTATTAGGTAGAACTTCTATGGTTCCTTATCTTGGTAGTATGGACTAATGTAGTAGGTGTCTTGTATGGCCCAGTGGCACAGCCTTTCCTATCATCCAAGCTGGGTACTTGAGGTGCACCCTTCTGTGGGATGAGTATATCCTCCTTTTGTAGTTGAAGCTCGATTGCTGTTGGCAGGTCAATGGAAGGGACTTATACAGGCCAGTCAGTTGCAAGGACTGACTGTGACCCCTGGCCACAAATCTCTGTCCTCTGTGGAGGATCAGCTGTGCAGGAGCAGAGTAATGGTGCTCTGATGTGATCTATAGCTGTCCACTGGGTGTGCAGGCTCTGGGGTTTTCCAAGTGGTACAGCCCAATGTCAACCCCTACCTGTGTTCTGCTCAGGGCCACCCAGCCTGAGCTGTAAAGCATTCTGAGATGGTTGCTACTTATGCTGGGGTTAGAGATTTCCAGGAGAAGCTAAACTGTGAATCTAAGTTGGCTGCTGCTAGTTCTGTGCCTGGGGTCAGTTAGCAAGAGCTACAGGGCCTGGGGGCTTACTGAGGCTGGCTGTTTCTTGTTTGATAGGATTTAGGAAGTTGTGAAGCACGAGCCAAGATTAGCCATTCATATGGGAAAAGTCAAGGTTAACAGTCTGAGTGGGCCATTAAGTTGGGTGGATGGACTCTCAGGGAATCTCTAGGGCAGGACAAACTGTGTTGGCCAGGTTGATGGAGTCTCAGATATGGTATCTGCCAACTCTGTGGCTCTGTGGCATCTGGAGGAAGGGCTCAGAAAGAGACAATGGCCTGCGTCTGCCTTTCTGTCTAGGAGAAAGCTGTCGCCCAGCTCTTGCCTCGATGACAAACACTTTAGTTTCTCCCTGTGTACCACTGGTTCCTTTCAAGCTGCTACCCCAGTGCTGGAGCTCAGATGGAGTGAGTTCTTTAAGGAGAACTGCTTGGGATTCCAGAAGTTTCTTCCACAGACTCAATCCCTGGTGGTTTTTGCGGTCAGAAATTATGGGGACTTATCTTTCTGGCACTGGAACATTGGTCTAGGTGTCCTGGTGCAGGGCTAGGACTCCTTGCTCCCAAGCTATTTCTCCCAAATTTTTACCCACCACATGTGGATGTGGGACCAGCCCATTCGGTATGTGTGCTCCTCCAACTATCTGAATGGATGTCATTTCTTTAATTCCATAGTTATCAGACTTCCATTCAAATTGATCTGACCATTCTGAGTGATGGTTGTTCTATATTTAAGTGTAATTTTTATGTGGTTGTGTGAGGAGGCATGCTGTGTTTACCTATGCTGCCATCTTGACCAGAAGTCATATATAATTTTTAAAAATATTTTATTTACTTATTTTTAGAGAGAGGAGAAGGGAAGGAGAAAGAGAGGAAGAGAAACATCAATGTGTGGTTGCCTCTCACGTGGCCCCCCACTAGGGACCTGGCCTGCAACCTAGGCATATGCTCTGACTGGGAATTGAACTGGTGACCCTTTGGTTCTCAGCCCATGCTCAATCCACTGAGCTACACCAGACAGGGCCATATATGATTGTTTTATATTAAACTTTTAAGATAATTGTGACACACATGCAGTGGTAGCAAACAATATAGAGAGATCTCATATAGCCTTTACCCATTTTCTCCCACATGGCAACATCTTTCAAAACTATAGTACAGTACCATAACCAGGATTTGACGTCAATTCAGTCAAGATTCAAAATATTCCCATCACTGCAAGTTTCATGTATCCTTTTGCAGCCAAGACCACTTCCCTCCTGCCCCACCCTGTCTTTAACCCTGGCAACTGCCAGTGTGCTCATTTCTCTAGAGAATCATCTAGGTTGTATGTATTAGTAGTCTGTTCCTTTTTTATTGCCCGTTAGCATTCTATGGTATGGATGTACCACAGTTTGTTTAACCATTCACTCCTTGAAGGACATCTGGATTTTTCTCCCTCTCATTTCCCTCCTTCCTTCCTGTTTTTGGCTATTATGAAATTTGCTAAAACATTATGTACAGGTTTTTGGGTAAATATAAGTTTTGATTGCTCTCTGATAAACATCTATAAGAACAGTTTCTGGGCTGTGTGGTAGTTGCATGTTTATTTTTATGTAAAACTGCCCAGCTGTTTTCTGGAGAAGCTATACTATTTTACATTCCCATCAGCAATGTATGAGTGATCCTATTTCTCCACATCCTTGCCAGTATGTGGATATTATCACTATTTTTTATAAAGTAAAATCCATTCCTCCATAAAAGTTATTAAAATTTTAGCCATTCTTGTAGATGTCTAGTGATAGTTCAGTATGGATTTATTTATTGATTGATTTTAGAGAGAAAAAGGAAGGGAGAGAGAAAGAGAGAGACATTGATTTGTCATTTCACTTATTTATGCATTCATTGGCTGATTCTTGTATGTGCCTGACCAGGAATAGATCCTGGTGTATCTAGATGGTACTTTAACCAATTGAAGTACCAGGCCAGGGCTTTCATTATGGTTTTAATTTGTATTTCTCTAATGCAGGGGTGTCAAACTCATTTTCACTGGGGGCCACATCAGCCTCACAGTTGCCTTCAAAGGGCCAAATGTAATCTTAGGACTGTATAAATGTAACTACTCCTTAACTAGGGGCAAGGAGCTCTACATTCAGCCCTTTGAAGGCAACTGTGAGGCTGATGTGGCCCCCAGTGAAAATGAGTTTGACACCCCCGCTCTAATGGCTAATGGTGTTGAATATGTATCCTCTATATGTCTTCTTTAGTAAAATAGTTTTCACCCTTTGCTTATTTTCTAATTAAATTACTTGCTTTTTTATTGCTGAGTTTTGAGAGCTCTTTATATAGTCTAGATATTAATGCTTTGTTGTAATAGTGCTTTGCAATTATTTTCTTTCAGTGTCTTTTTATGATTTTAGTAATCTTTCAGAGAAAAATTTTAAATTTTAATAAAGTCCAATTTATCAAAATAAATTTTTTTAAATCAATAGTGCTTTTGGTATCAAGTCTAAGAATTCTTTGTCTAGCCCTAAACCCTACAGGTTTTGTAAAACCTTTATAGATTTACATTTATATGTAAGCCCATGACCCATTTGGGGTTTACTTTTGTACGAGACGTGAGACCTAGGCTGAGGTTCATTTCTATCCCTATGGATGTCCAATTGCTTCGGAATTATTTGTTGAAAATACTGTCTTTCCTCCATTGAATGACTTTTGTATCTTTGTCAGAAATCAAATGGGCATATTTATGTGACTCTCTTCCAGGTTCTTTTGTTTCTGCTGGTTCTCATTTATGCTCTTTTGATTTCTTGTGAATGTGATAATCTTTAATTTTGTGTCAAACATCATATTTGAAAAACTTGCTTTTAAAAATAATTTAAGACCTAGGATGAAGTTATCCTCAACTAGAGGTGATTGAAAAAGACACTCAAACAAATATCTGTGCACAAATGCTCACAGCAGCATTATTCATAATCACCCAAAGGTGGAAACAACCCAGATGTCCATTGACAGATGGAAAGATAAACACAATATTGTATGTACATTCAGTGGAATATTATTCAACCTTAAAAAGGAGAAGAAATTCTGAAATATGACACAACTAGGTGAGCCTTGAAGATATCACATAAAATAAGCTAGAAACGAAAGAACAAATATAATCTGACTCCACGTATATGAGGCACCTAGAGTAGTCAAATTCATAGACACAGAAAGTAGAATGGTGGTTGTCAGGGGCTGGGGGCAGGGAGAATAGAGAGTCATTGTTAAATGGGTACAGAGTTTCAACTGAGAAAGAAGAAAATTTTCTGAAGATGGATCGTGGTGATGGTTCCACAAAATTGTGAATGAACTTAATGCCACTGAACTATACATGTTAAACTGATCATTTTTGTTATGCCTATTCAATCACAATAACAAATATTTTAATGGATAAAGTGGTAAATTTTGTATTTTGTATATTTTTTTGTATTTTGTACAATTTTTTTTTAAAGAAAGGAAAAAGTAAGCTGTGGAAAAGGAAGTTTTCTTTCTCACACAGAGGTAAATAAAAGGAATAAGGTAAATAAAAGGTAAAAGTAAACTGTGGAAAAGGAAGTTTTCTTTCTCACACAGAGGTAAATAAAAGGAATAAATTGAAGCATAGGCATATACAAGGTCGAGAAGATCATTTAATTAGAGAGAGGAGTGAAGGCTTGAGCCTGTAGGCCTGGAATCGGGAATCTGTGGTATCTATGCGTGAAATAGTACAAAGTGTTACATTAGAGGCACTTGAGGTGATACTGCTTCCCCAGCTCCTTTTGCCCCCCCCCCGCCCCCCACCCAGTGCATCTGTGTTCCCTCAGTCCCTGGACACATTATGACTTTCATCGGCCCGAGGCACTTTTCCCTGCATGTGTTCATTCCTCCATAAAGATTATTAAAAATTAGATCTTGCAACTGCATTGTCATACATGGAAATATAATACAACTAGACTTGACATACATTCATTATCCGATTCTTTTTTTTTGCTTCTGCTTTAAAAGAAACTGAAATTAAAACTTTTTTTCCATGTGCCTAATAGAGAAGTCAGTTTTGCTGCCTTCTTCCTTCACTTCTAAGGGACTACTCTCCTCTCTCCGAATGTTGCCCCATCCATCTGATGGCTGCCGGCTCTTACCCTCTACATTTTTCATAGTTAAACTGAAGTTTACAACTTAATTTCCAATAAATTAATGCTGTTGTCAGATGCCAAAAACACTTGCAAGTACCAAACCTAAGAATAATATTTTTTAAAGTCTTAGGAGTCTGAGATAGTTGCTGATAATAGTTTCAGAAAACTTGATCAGGAAATGTGAGTGAGTGACCCAGCCATGCAATTTTTAAAAAGTTACTTCACCAGAGATTAGCGCCACACAGTGAAAAGCAGGCAGACTATACTGTTAACCCTAGAGTAAAATTTAATATTCGGGGTTTTAAGATTTCTCATTTTGATTTCTATTGTGTTGAATATATGAGAGCAAGGTTAAATGTGATAGAAGAACTGATATTTTAAGTGGTAAAATCATATTAGCTTACAGCATTTTATAGATCATAGGGCGCTTTCTAGCCATTTAGTCATTCTGATATCATTGCGGGATAGCTAAAGGGATTTCTGTTTTCCTGAGAAACTGAGATGCCAAAGTTCTGAGTAACTTGCCCAGTGTGATACAGCTTCTGATAGATTTATAAGCCCAGGTCTAGTTTTCCCAGTATGTTGTCCTTTCTGCTATTTTATCCCTAATTGCCATTCTGCTGTCATAATAATGATAATGATGTTGAAAATAAAACTAAATCATAGTTGTAGTTATCCTTACAATGACCCCCCTGAGATAGAGAAGTAACCTAGTCTAGTGATTAAACCTTTGCTCTTAGGTTTTCTGGGCCTAAAACCCAGCTGTTGCACTTGGTAGTTGTATAACTGAATACATTTTGTAACCTCTCTTTGTCTCAGTTTCATTATCTGTGACGTGGTACTACTAACTGTACCTCCTTCCAAGGTTGGTCTGAACATTGAAAAATTTAACACAAAAGCACTTGGAAAAGTATCTGAACATAGTAAACACTATATATGGGTTTATTGTTATTTTATTATTACCCCTATTCTCTAGGATGATCCTCACAGTAACCCTTTAGTGTACAGATATTATGATTGGTTCTTGATGTTTCATGAGGTCCAATACATTTGCTTTAACAAGATAATTTCAGCACTGTGGTCTTTACTTTTTAATGACAAGTGATTGTTGTTAATACAGGGGTGGAGAGACTCTGTAGCAATGATTCTCAAAGTGTGGTCCCTGAATCAACATATTCCAGTCACTGGGAACTTCTTACAACAGCAAAGGATTTATCCTAGACTGACTTAATCTTCTCATCTGTGAAATGAGAATGCTTAATGGTAGAACTTTGTTGAGAGACCTAAATGATATACTGCATGAAATTGTGCTAAGCATAGTGCCTGACATATAGTATGTGCTTAATTGTCGTGGTTATTATACAAATTCTTACCTGTAGCTTTATTTCTTTTACTTTTTTATATTTGTAATTTCCTCATCTTATTTCTTTTAGGTGGAGCCTATTTATTATGGCATCCTGGACTTATAGACATCCTAATTCATATACACTTGACCCTTGAACAACATAGGTTTGAACTGCACAAGTCCACTTATACATAAATTCTTTTCAGTAAATGCTATAAATGTATCTTCTCTTCTTTATGGTTTTCTTAACAATTTTTTGTGTTTTACTTTATTATAAAAATACAGTATATATAATACATATAACATACAAAATTTTGGTATGTTATATGTATTATATACATTTTTATGTATATATTTTTATAGTACATTTATGTACTATAAACTATTTATGTTATTGGTGAGGCTTCTTGTCAATAGTAGATCATTAGCAGTTAAATTTTTAAGAAGTCAAAAGATTTTTAACTGTGCCAGCGGCTGGCACCTCTAACTCCTGCATTGTTTAAGGGTCAACTGTATAAAGTTAAAGAAGCTCCCATGAATTTTGCTTTTTTTCCCCAAAAAATACCTCTATTTTTTGTTTGATAGACTTTTAGACAGCTTTTAAAAGTGCATTTTTTTCCTCCACAGGATGAATTCATTCTATTCATAGATAAAGTTTCTAGTCTTAGATTTATATTTTAGCATATGATACAGAGAGGTCTTTTGTCCTTGTAGCCTTTAAAAAAAAAAAAAAAGCAACAGACCTGTTATCAAATTGCCAAAAGAAGAAATAAAAATAAAACAAGCTCTGGCTGGTGTACCTCAGTGGTCAGAGTGCAGGCTGTGAACCAAAGGGTCACCAGTTTGATTCCCAGTCAGGGCACAGGCCTGGGTTGTGGACCAGGTCCCCAGAGGGGGTCACGTGAGGGGCAACCACAAATTCATGTTTCTCTCCCTCTCTTTCTCCCTTCCCTTCTGTCTAAAAAATAAGTAAACAAAATCTCTAAAAATAGTAAAATAAAACATAATCTTTTTCAGTGGTTCTCATGTGGAAGACCAGTTCTTAGAACAAAAGCATAAATGCAATCTTTATTTTTTATTCTCAACAGAGGGCTTTTTTTTTGCCATTGCTTTTAAAGAGAGAAAGAGAAATATCAATGTGAGAGAGACATTGATTGGTTTCCTCTTGTACACTCCCCCACCAGGTATCAAACCCACAACTTCGCTATTTGCTCTGACCAGGGATCAAACCATCAACCCTTCAGTTTATGGGACAATGCTTCAACTAACTATGCCATGGTGGCCAGGGCAGCACAGCCTTTTAATAAATCAAGAAATTATGCAGGAATTTTCAACTTAAAAAGTTAATTTCCAGAGCAAACGAAAATATTTCATGAGTCATTGTGATTGCTCATGGAAAATTTTGCCAATTTTGGATTTTTTGTGGAGAATCTAAAAAATGTTCTTTCTTTCTCCCTCTGCTCATCTTCCTCCTTCTTCCTCTTTCCCAGCTCTTGTCAGCCACACCCAGTACTCTCAGAGCTCCCAGAACCCAAGTTTACCTGATGCCATCCACTTCTCACTGTCATCCAAGACTGGTTTAGAAAATGGTAAGATCCCCTTACTCACTCACCCAAATCAGGGTCAGTTTTGGTGGGCAACCAGAGTGAGAATCACTTTCATTCACTGAATTTGGAACCTTTCTCCCAGCCGTTCTCCTAGTACCACAGTCAGAGCTGGCTCTCGTTTAAGTTCACAGATTACAAATCAAACTTTTCAAGGCATCCCCCTCAAACCCAGCTCTCCCTGGTTTCTCCACTCCTGTACCCTGGGAGTGTTTTCTTCATGGTTTTGAGAAACCAGCTTAGGTAACAATAGTGTACACGTCCCTAGAAAGGCACCCCAGGACTGTTCTAGCACAAAAGCCTACCCAGCTGGACTGGAAATCTGGGCTTCTCTGTTGAAAGCCTAGATTTCCCAAAAATAGGTTTTAAAATTGTTTACATGTTATAAAGGAGACCTCCCAAGAAAGTGTATGGTTGCATCTAGAAAGAATACTCTGAACACCTGAATGAAGTTATAAAAGGGATAAAATGTGGGTTGTTAGGAAAAAGGAATCTGCCTTGAGATACAGACATAATATAGCTAATCACTGGGTGGCTTGGGGAATGAGTAGGAGAGCTGACTGCCATAGGTCTCAGATTTGCTTTTCATGACCTTTGCATCATGGTCCTAACAATCTTAAAAACTGTTGAAAGCATCTGCTTTTAGAGAATCCTTCAAGGGATCAAAATGTAGGACTGAAACTCTCACTGCAGTGGGATATCCTCACAGATATTGAGGAAATAGACCAGATTCATATGCTAAGAACAAGCCAGTCAGTATGGCAAAACAGCAAATCGCATGAAATAAATCATAAGGCAACAAGAGGATTCAGCCTGGAAATGTCCAGGAATCCAAATACTTGGGTAAAGTCCAGTGACAAGAAGCCCCCTGCAAGCAATTGGATGACAAGCAGGTAGTGAGCCCATAGAGAGTCTGTGAGCAGGGGGAAAGGCCTTGTCATTGAAGGGCAGGATTGAAATCTCAAGGGGGGAAGCTGGAAAAAATTACGTTATCTGATTCTAAGGAAACTAGGATGGAGCTTGTTCCATCCTCCCAGTCTAAGGTTAGGATGGTTCTCATGATCTAGTTGGGATGAGCCTGGACTCTTAGGCAGTGAGCAGGGAGAACCCAACTCACACAAGCTTAAGCAGCAAGAGAATTATTTGTTCCTGGACTCAACATGGCCCAGACTTTTTTCTCTTTCCATCTCTGCTTTGGCTGAATTCTGCAGTTAAGTTCATTTCACATGGCAAAGATGGTTACTGCCAGCCACCAATTCCTGTGCTTTTCCTGCTTGGAAAGAAAAGTGTTCTCCCCACCTCCCATCCCTGCCCCAAGGTCCATATTTCAATTTCAGGGAATGACTCTGGTTAGCTCTATTTGAGTCACGTGTCCACCCTATGGCCCAACCATGGTCCCCTGGGAAATAAAGTAATATTATTGGTCAAACCTGGGTCATTGGCTCATGTGTTGCAAGAAAGTACAGTTGTCAGTCCAACTTGAGCCACATGAGATGGGAGTAGGATGATACCTTTTGAGGTACCTTACTTTGGTAAGGAAAATCAACTAGATCCATAGTTTTGGAAGAGAAGGTAAATCCTGCTCTTAACCTAGGGCTAACATGGGGAATGGAGGTGAAGACAAAAATGGAGAAGAGCTAAAATGCCCTGATTCAAAATTTCACCTGGAATTCTAGCCAAATGAGGAGCTCATGGCTAAGGCAAAAGACCTGGAGATAGAATAAACAGTATACCTATTCTCATTACAACCAATATTTTAAAACACCTGTGCATAGGGAGAAAATCTGGCAGAAGCTACACCAAGATGTTAACAGTGCTTGTGTAGTAAGATTTTATGCTCCTTCCCTTTCGTGTCTTTACTTTTCAATTTTTCTACGTGTACTTTACTGGTTTATTGAATAGACTAGATTTGGTAGGATGGAAAAGGAAATGGCAAGTTTTTCTCTTCCCCCAAATTCCTTGAAGCCATCTTTCTATATGTTCACTGCAAGGGTAGAATTTTACAAGGGGAGAAGATTAGAATTGAAAGGCCTTAGAGATCACATCATTCGGTTCTCTCAATTTAGCAGGTGAGAAACCTGAAGCCCAGAGATGTTGAGTACCCCAACTGTTTAGTGGGAGAGTCAGGAACAGAACCCAAATCTTTTGACTACCAAGAAAATGTTGTCTCTGGTACACAGGATTCTGTCCTGAGAATGGGGGATGCTGGAAAACCTCATCTTTAGGTCTTTCAGAGTATGTAGGGAATCTTGAGAGGCCTCTAGTATTTCAGATGTCATCATAGGGATTTTATTCCTTGGAGTCAAAGTCCTGATCCCATTTCAGAGAAAATCTTGAGGAAAGGTAATTCTTAAGCTGATAATTAGTTATACTTCAATATGAATAGATTTGGTTCCCTTTTCAAGTAGACTTTGGTAGACTGATGGTTGGGCAGACTTTACCTAATGAGTACTGACTTCGTGTAAAATTTGAAGTAAATATCCTTGTTGTGTCAATATGTGTCTTTTCTTTTTAAAGGTTGGATCTTTCAAAATCCTTTCTTACTATTGGAAATTCTGAAATGCAAGACAGTCCTAGATGCTGCTGTGAAGAGACTACAAGGAGCCATAATTCAAATGTAGGGAGCCCTTTGCAGTCTTCAGAATCATAAATTCTTATAAGGCATATAATACAGTAGATAGGCAAGAAGAGATGGAGGGCCTATGTGGCCCTAGACAAGTCACCCTATCACCTTGCCTGTTGTATTTGTAATATGAAAAAACACATGCACACAAACCCTTCTGTTCCTGGTAACTCATGGAAAAGTCTATGATACAGGACTTACACATCAATCAGCCTTATCATAGGATCAGCACAGGATCATGTGTGACAATGTCAAGGAGCAGGGAGAGAAAAGCAGCAGTCAGGGAAAGAAAAGCCAGCTGTAAGCAAAGTTCTGTTGTAAGGAAACATAAAGCCAGTCCCCGCTTTTATGTAAAATGGGAAAAAAAAATCTTAGTTAGTTAACAATCAACAGAGGACAAATCAAAGAATTAGGAGGGAATAATAACGATAGCAAGTATTGACAAAATACTGTGTTAGGCAGTTGACCTAGTGCTTCACATGTGTTATCCATACTCCTTACAACCACTGCATGAGAGAGATTATCTTCTTCATTTTACAGATGAGGAAGCTAATGTGCCACAAACTGTGGCAATCCATACAGCTAGACAAAGGCAGCACCAGGGTGAAACCCAGCTCTGTCTGACCCCAGAGCCTACCCACTTTCCACTATGATTTGTTTCCACTCCAGTTCTTCACCTGGCCTCTGATGTGAAAATAACCACTTACTGCTTGGTTTAGTATGAATTCCTTTTCCAAGTAGACTTTGATAGCCTGATGGTTGGGTAGAATAATAACCACTTAATGCATTTTATTTATTTATTATTTTTTCAAATTAAAAAAAGATTTTATTTATGTTTAGAGAGAGGAGAAGGGAGGAAAAATGAGAGGAAGAGGGACATCAATGTGTGGTTGCCTCTCACATGCCTCTCCACTGGGAACCTGGCCCACAACCCAGTCAAGCAAGCGCCCTGACTGGGAATCAAACCCTCGACCCTATGGTTCACAGGCTGGCACTCAAGCCACTGAGCCACACTAGCCAGGGCCACTTAGTGCATTTTAAATGCAATACATCCTTAGTATTGAAATTTTTCAAAGATTTAGAAATGTGTAAGAAGAAAAAAACCCACAATCTTTTCTGTTTTTATCATTTTGACATATTTTCTTCTAGCCTTTTTTCCAATGTACATACACACACACCCCATAATAGAGTAGGTACTATGTACCATATTTTGGGGCCATCTGACGCACCTAGGTTTTAGAGGAAGAAAATAGGGAAAAATCTTGAAGCAAAAAATGTGATAAAATATTTAATAACATAAATAATATAATATTTCACCAATGTAAATGTAAACAGAACTCAACAGCAGTATTAGCAACCATTATTCCTCCCAAATTGGGGGGGTATGTCTTATAGTCTGAAAAATATGGTACTTAAATGCCATGTATTTTATATGCATTTATATATTATCTTTTAAAATATATACTCTCTTTTGAATGCCACTTATGTCCTGCTTTTTCTCCATTCACATGAGCATTTTTCCATGCTGTTAAATTCTTCAGAAATAAGATTTTGAATGACTGCTTTGAATTAATTTTATTGCATAGATGATCCATGAGTTTTTTAACTATTCTCCTATTGAATGTTTACATTTGTTCAATGGTCCTATAAATATTTTTTGTCTATTCAATGTATTCCTAAAACTATACTCCTAGTAGTGGAACTTGGTAAAAGGTTATAAACATTTTTAAAGTTCTAGAGAAGTACTACCAAATTGCTTTTCAGAAAAGCCATACCAGCTAACCCTTCATAACAATGAGAGATGAGACATCTCAACATTTTTGGCACTGGATGTAATTGTTAAGATTATTCAACCTTGATAAACTGATAAGCAAAGAGTACTCTTGTTCCTATTTCTTTACTAACTAGAGAGGTTTAACTTTTTAAGTACAGTATTTCTTTATAAAAAGAGAGAGAGAGAGCCCTCCAAGTCATTTTTTAAAAAGATTTTATTTATTTATTTTTAGTGAGAGGGGAAAGGAGGGAGAAAGAGAGAGAATATTGATTGGGTGCCTCTCACATACCCCCAACTGGGGATCTGGCCAGCAAACCAGGCTTGTGCCCTGACTGGGAATCAAACCAGCGACCCTTTGGTTTGCAGTACAATGCTTAATCCACTGAGCCACACCAGACAAGGCTAAGTATTTCTTGATATTTGAAAATATTTCTTCTGTGAATTGGGTGTTCCTAATCTCTGTACCTTTTCCCCGCTATGGTTTTAGTGTCTTTCCTACCTTTTTGTTTAAGTTTTTTACGTATTAAGGATATTAATCTTTTGTTATTTGTGATAAATATTTATTTCTCCAGTTTATTTTTTGCTTTTTTATTTTAACAAAGTTTTTATTTATTGGCTGAGAGAGAGAGACATTGATTTGTTGTTCCACTTATTTATGCATTCACTGGTTGCTTCTTGGATGTGCCCTGACCAGGGATCGAACCTGCAACCTTGGGGCATTGGGACAATGCTCTAACCAACAGAACTACTCAGCCAAGGCTATTGCTTGCTTTTTAATTTTATGATTAAGATGTAGGTGTTTTAACTTTCCTTATTGTACTATTATCAATGTTTTGTCTTAAGATTCTCCCCCATTGTTTTATAACTGGAAAAACTTTCCTCATTTGGGGATTAGGTAGACTTACCCTATTTTTTACTTCTTTTTTTCTACATTTAGATGGAAATTTTATTTTGTGGCATGAGAAGATGAGATCCTAGCTTTGTTCCTCCCATGCCAGGAATAATGACAGCTAGGGTTTATTGAGTGCTACCACTGACGGCCAATGTTTATTGAGTGCTTCTTTGTGTAAAGCACTACATGAAGCAATATATATGCCTCCATGAGTCAGCTACTGTTGTTAGTTCAAGGTCAGAGAGCTAGTTAAATGGGTGAGCTGCTATTTAAGCTTAGATCTTTCTGAAATCAAACCCTGTGCATTTAAGCTCAATACTTTACTATCTTTCTGGAGCCATGTATTGAATATATTCTCTGCTACCCACTGATTTGAGTTTTTAGTTTAATTATATCTTCAGTCTTATATACATTAGGGTCTGCTTTTAAGCTATCTATGCTATTCCATTAATCTGCCTATTAAGTTTTCAACTATTTTAATTATTCAGATTCTATAAAATGAGAGAGGTGATGTAGAATGTTAAGAAAGAGCCTCAAAGCCTGATTGATTTGACTAAAATCCCAGCTCCCTTCATTCATGTGACTTTGGGAAAGTCACTTATTTTTTT